CATGATCCTGTTGACTGGAAGGTTATCCCTAAGTATTTGTATGATGTATCCTGATCTATTTGAAGGCCGTCGATCTGCCATTTATGTTTGGTCTTCTTCTTATTGAATATCATAACCTTTGTTTTGTTGTAGTTTATAGTCAACAGTTCATCTTTACAGTAGGTAGCAAGAGCGCTTAAAAGGCGTCTCAGACCTATTCTTGTCTGCGATAGAAGCACCAGATCATTGGCATATAATAGCACAGTTATTGGCCTATCAGCTAAACGGGGAGGGTGAGATTTGATCAATTCCAAGTGATGAACTAAAGAGTTGATATAGAGATTGAATAAGGTGGGGGCTAGTATACAGCCCTGTCTTACTCCAACTTAGGTGGATATTTTTCTTGTTAAGTGTCCAGCAGGGGTGCATCAGATTTTCATATAGGTATTTTTGTAAAGCTTTTTCATAAGCACCACCAGTCTCTTATCAATATTTTGAGATTCCAATTTTCCCCACAGATTTTCCCTTGGGACTGAGTTGAAAGCTTGCTTGAAGTCTATGAATGCGGTATGAAGACCTTCATTAGTTGGTGTGTACTTTTCAGAGAGATGTTGCAGAATAAGTCCATGGCCAACTGTGCTTCGACCTGTTCTAAATCCAGCTTGCTCATCAGCAAGAATGTTTTCTGGCTCCATCCAGTCCTGGAGCTTTTCATGCAAATATGAAGCATATAATTTGCTGATAATACTTAGCAAGCTGATAGGTCGGTAATTTGCTGGGTCAGTTCGCTCTCCTTTTTTATAAATTGAGAAAATAATAGCTAATCCCCAATCCTTTGGGATATATGTCGTTCGATCAGTCCATGTAAACAAACTTGCAAGGACAGGAGCCCACCAATCTGTATTTGTTTTTAATATTTCAGAGCGATGTTATCATAACCTGGAGCTTTACCTGTTTTTAATTTGGAAATTAGAAGATGTACTCTTTTAGCAGTAACTGGGGGCCAGTTTGGTAAATTGCTTATGTCTGGTTCAGATGTTGTTTGATAGATCTCCCCTGCAATAAAGATGGTACTGAAATACATTTCCCAGCCATTGGGAGGAATAAAATAATCCATATTTGATGCTGTTTTTGGCCATGCATTCGAGACCACTTGCCAGAAAGTAACCGAATCTTCCCTCTTTGATGCATTTATTAAAGTTTGCCATGTGGATCTTATTTCCTGATCTTTTTTAGTTTTCATTAACTTCTTGTAGTTCTTTCTTAGCACAAACCATTCGGGTGGTAATGTGAGAAGATTTTGTTCTCTGTAGTGCTGATATTATTTTATTAGGGCTTTTTTCATGGCAATACATTCATGGTCAAACCAAGGCTTAGATTTTTTAGTATAAACTTTTATGGTACCAGAGGGTTTCAGACATTCTTGCAGATTCGAGATTAGTTCATGGTATAAGGTGAAGACTAATGCAGGTGAATCTGCTGTCATCAGATCTTCTTGTTGGCGTAGACTACTTTCAGAGTGTAATAGTGTTGTTGTTTTGTTTAATTGGTTTGACCGTTTTATTCTAGTAAACCTTTTTTCAGCATCAAGGTTTGCCATTTGGATGCACTCTGTGAAGATATCCTGAGTATCGATGTTAAGTTCTAGTACTAGAGGTAAGTGGTCACTCTCTAAACATTTGCTCACATAGCAGCTAGAAATAGTGTTTAATAGGCTATATGAAGCTATGATATAGTCAATTGTTGAAGCTCCTGATTCAGATATAAAGGTGTACTCACCAGGTCTATCCCTTGCGACACTCCCATTTAAGATGACCAAATCGAGTTTGTTTATTAGCTGCATTAAATGAAGGCCAGCGTGATTGCATCCTTTGTATTTTGATTGCCTTGTTGGAATATGGTGGGCAGGGTCTGGTTCTGGTGAGTTTTGTTTGAAATGGGAGTACAGGGATTCGTCTGTTTGGCCTATTCTGGCATTTAGGTCTCCTGCAATAAGAATGTGGGCTTTTGGATATAAAGTTGTTAAGTCAGAGATGTATTTTCCTAACTTATTTTTGGTTTGTTGTTGTTTTTGGTTTGTTGTTGATGTTTTGCTGGAGGGAGATAAACGTTAATTAACAATAAGCTAAATGATCTAAAGTTGATAACCAGGGCTGTTGCTAAGCAAAGTAAAGGATTTTGTTTAACAATACTAGTCCGAATACTGGTGGAAATCAGGATAGCTAATCTGTCTCTAAATGGTTTCTCTGCATATTC